CCATCTTAATCTTTTTTTTTTTTTTTTTTTTTTTTAGACAGTTTCACTCTGTCACCCAGGCTGTAGTACAGTGGCACAGTCCTGGTTCACTGCAACCTCTGCTTCCCGTGTTCAAGCAATTCTCTTGCCTCAGCTTACCAAGTAGCTGGCATTTCAGGCACCTATCACCATGCCCGGCTAATTTTTATATTTTTAGTAGAGACGGGGTTTTGCCATGTTGGCCAAGCTGGTCTGGAACTGCTGACCTCAGGTAATCCACCCACCTCGGCCTCCCAAAGTGTTGGGATTACAGGCGTGAGCTACCACGCCCTGCTGAATTAGCTTACTTTTCAAAAAATAAATTTAGAAGTACGTTTAGGTAGAAATAAACCATCACTGTGGTTTATTTTTGGGTGCGAAGGTGACAGTATCATTATTATAAGACAATAGTAAGATTATATACACATTCTCCATGAGAATCAGTTAGTCCTGGAATCATTCCTTTTCCTGTGTGAGAATAGCTATTTTGGTTTGAGTTCTGTCCCTTAAAAAATTGTCCCTATCAGATGACAGTATGAGGGAGGCAGTAGATTGCCTGTTATTTTAGTCTCTAAAATTGATTTAAGCACTGTAGAGAGTTAAACTCATTAGGTTTGTATTAAGTATTTTACACACATGCACACGCACAGAGTAATGGTGTTTTCTAATCAAAATCTAATTCTTTTGCCCCCTTAGCGCTGGCTGACAGAGCAGAGAGCTCAATGTCCTCATTGCCGGTAAGTGTTTTACTATGATTATTTTTGAATTTTGAAAATAGCAAGAGTCAGAATGTGCCTTAGGAGTCATAAAGGCAGTTTTCCTGCAATCTGCCATGTTTCTCTTCTTTGTGAAGATAGTTGAGTAGAAATAAGCAATCTGACTAGAAAAAGAAATGCGGGGACTATTTCATGTGACTTAGAATTATGTTTACTATGTTGTACCCTGCCTCTCATAGAAAATTATTGTATAACTTCTTAACTTACCTTTTATAATTAAGCAACACATTTTTAATGTTTCTGGCTAAAATAATCTAGATAGGTCACAACGTATCTTTTATAATTAAGTAAAACATTTTTAATGTTTCTGGTTTAAAAAATCCAGATAGTTTGGCTGGACATGGTGGCTCACACCTATAATCCCAGCACTTTGGGAGGCCGAGGCAGGTAGATCACTTGAGGTCAGCCTGGCCAACATAGTGAAACCTTGTCTCTCCCAAAAACACAAAAATTAGCTGGGTGTGGTAGTGCGCCCCTGTAGTCCTAGCTACTCGGGAGGCTGAGGCATGAGAATCGCTTGATCTTGGGAGATAGAGGTTGCAGTGAGCTGAGATCATGCTGCTGCACTTGAGCCAAGATTGTGCCACTGCACTCCAGCCTGGGCAACAAAGCCAAAAAAAAAAAAAAAATTCAAATAGAGATAAATATAAAATAAAAAGGCTTCTGATTCTGATACCTTTCTACCCTGTCTTTTCAGAAGACATTGTTTCAAAAGACGTTGTTGGGTTTGGTATGTGTTCTTCTAGACCATTTTTTGTGCATGTATTTTTTAAGGCCCTAATCTGGTATGATTGTGCCTATATATAGATTCCCATATACTTTTTCTTAAAATGTACAAATGATATAATATTGTTTTGCAGTTTGCTTTTTCATGTAAAATATATCTTTTCTTGATTATATGTATATATATGTCATTTTTTGAGGAAAAAAAATTGACTATAGTCATACCTTGATTTATGCCCATATTGAGAGACATTTAGGTTATCTCTACTTTTGGTTTTAAAAAATAATGCTGGAGTGCCATCTGTTGCCCATTT